TGTTCACAGACTGTAAAAACAATCGATTTCAAAAGAAATTAATTGGGCAGAACACGAATATATGAATATCTGCCCCCCCCCCCAATTATCGATTCTCCGGCGCCTCTGGGCAGAGGAAGGGGCCCAGTGGGGCATTTGCCCCACCAGTCCATGGTATTAAAAAATGCCATGCGTCAAACGTTTGTGTATGATGTGGCAAAGTATTAAGACCATACTCGTATGAAATAACGGATTGTACAACCTGTACGAGCCGTATCAATTGGAGTGCGTTGTGTTAGAAAGGTCTTGATAATGACGGATTTTACAACTCGTACGACTCGTATCTATGCGGCAGTATTGGACGTCGGTTTGATTGCATTCGTCTAAAATTCGCTATGTTTTTGGATATTAGGATTTTGCAGTTATATATAGCACGTGCATACGCTTATATGGGAGTTTCACGAATTTCCGACACTTTTGGAGTCAAAATCGCTGTTTAAAGGCCCATTTCCACTCAAGAGACATGTCTACGGACAGAAAATTTTCCTAAAATGTCATTGTTAAAAGTTGAAAATTTTCAACTTCAACATTTTTTCCCGACGGAAAATTTGTGTCGGCCAATCACATTTCACAAAGTGGAAAGGGGCCTTAATGCAACAATAAAAATCCGTATGCATATAGGCACAATCTTCCCCTTAACAATGAAAGTAAAACAGCAGGCAGATATACGTATAAAGCTACAGATTTTGTTTTTGTATTTTATATTCAAGAAAGAAAATTGTGCAAATTTTAGACAACAGAAACTTCGAAAAATGTTTTTTACTGTTTTTAAAACGACGGCTTTGAAATTCCAGGCAAATAATAGAGTCAAGGACAAAAAATACAACCTTACGAATCAAATTAAAAAGTAATTACTTAATGATTAACTTAATGATTAAATTATACTACGAGCTAACTGTTATATATCTGCTAATTCTTTTTACGAAACGCAACAGTTTAGTGTGCATGGTCGTCCAAAAATGTTTAAAATACAACTGAAGTGTTGAAGCTTACTAAAAAGATTTAATTTGTCTTCCAATGAAGTAATCTTATATAAGGAATTAAAAAAAATAAATTTTACTGTATACAAAAACATGGTATTGAATTGAATTGAATGGTCGATTTCATATGTTCTGAACAATCAAAAGTGAATTGGGAGGCGCGAGCTTATTATTTTAAAATATATCTGATGTGAAACCTTGTTGCCTATATTCCTATACTTTGTTAATTTGGTCCAAATAAATTGGATTGGTTGACCTAGAATAGGATCCTATTGTCCAGTCCTCGTGCCCTTTAATTTCACGCCACCATGCAAATGCGGTAGATTAGACTTGGTATATTGATATTCTATTTTGTCCTTTGTAGTACCGCTTGTGAGAAGATATTGAACAAAAGATAGAAAAGAAAAGAGAAATGCATTTGGAAAGTTATGCCAATATTATCCTCACCATTATGATTGTACCAGCTTTGGTTGTATTTACCACTGGTTGCATTGTTTACTATTTTTGTCCTTCGACGGCCTTGATGCTCATCGTCATGAAAAACATCGTCAGCAGAAAGAATATCGAAAAAAACATGACCTATCTCGTCTGCAATAGGAAACTTTTGCCGAACGGCCGACATTTGTTTTTTTATAGTTCACTTTTCGTTATTGCACTATGCGTGCAGTGCTTTTTTCTTGTCGCTATCGTCGACGTGACCTACGAATGCATTCACGATCCGGACTTGGATTGCTTCAGAAAGAAAGATGATGTAAAATTATCTGACACCCCTAACGACGATTCGCCCGTCAATTGTTCAACGATCTCGAGTCATGACTTCGTCACTTGCTACCGTCTGACTGCTTTTGATCCTGAGAGAGCCTTCATTGGCGCTGCGGCAGGATACTTGTTGTTCAAAATGCTCAATTTTTGCCTTCTTATCGTTGCGCATAGCTTGCTTTGGGCTGCAAAAAAATGGGGGAGTAAAATGGTTTACATTAAATTCGGGCTTGTCATTGCATTTACCATGGCAATATGTGTTCCAGCCATTTTAAGAATCTATCTAGACGAGGTGGAGTCAGCATTTCGAAAGATGTCATACACAGTGTTAGTTCAAATCGGGTCTCTTCTGTGTCTTCTCTACTATTTTGTAGCTCTTCCTTGGGACGTATTCGTTAAAAGTGAAGAGTATTACGGAGATGCGTCTTCACCTGACAATGTTGATGCAAATGGCAACGAACTAGCCTAAAATAATGACCAAACACCAAACAATTTTAGCGGTGCAGCAACTGAGCACGTTTGTAACATTTATATATTAAGCATTTTTACATGTAGTCTACTAAACATAATTGTGATTTAGTAAGTTAAACCAAATACTTTTAGCGGTGCAGCAACTGAGCACGTTTGTAACATTTATATATTAAGAATTTTACATGTAAACTACTAAACATAACCTAATAGTGATTTGTTAACTGATGCATTTTGGCATAATAAAATAATTTGCGTGGAGAGTTCTTATAGGTAACTTTCTTTTGTGCATGTATATTTTCATAATGCTTCACACTTTGTACTACAACAAACTGTATTCTGTATGGTTGATTGTAGGCTTTTTTATCTGGTCCCTTCTGTGATCATGCATTCGGACGATTGTTAGGTCAATCTGGTCAGTAAAGACAATAAAAACATAAACAAATTCTGCTTATCTGGAAAAATGGTTGTACCATTGCTTTTCATACTTGTAAGTTGTGAATTGTGAAATGAGTTTGCGTATTTTGTATGCACGTTTAAATTCTGAAATTCAAAAAATTTCCTGGCCTGAGCAGGAAACAACAGGTAAATAATATACACTTAAATACCCACACGCATATATATATATATATATATGTATATATATATATATATATATATATATATATATATATATATATATATATATATATATATATATATATATATATATACTTATATGATTTATGTCCGTCCCATGCAATGCATTTTTCACTCCCCCCTATTTCTGGATCACTAAGGGCAACTATATTCAAATTAATAATGAAAAAGTACTTCTTACAACTACAATCCTGGCAATGATTAACAATTTAACCTATTCTTTCCCCTTTTCCCTCTTACAATGTTGGTTAAGATGAGAAAAATCTACACATAATGCTCTCTGCCATCGATGAACTATTCAGCACAATTTTTTTAGAC